AAAAAAAAAAAAAAATCCCAGTAGATAATAGAGCATTACAATCAATATTTTAGTTGTGGTAATGACAATGACACTGTGGTTAGATGTTTCTCTTTATCATTTTAATCATACATCCTGAAGTATTTATATGGATGAATATCATGATATCTGGGATTGGCTTCAAAGTAACCCCATGGAGATGAGGGTTTAATGTAAGTGTGTCCAACCAGCACCAGCTGGGCTGGTTGATCAGTGCTGAGGCTAGGCAATTCATTATATGAATATCTCTACTTTTATAAAGGTTTAGAATTCTCCAGAATTAAAGCATTTCAAAAATCCTCCATGAGCTCAAGGAGATTCCAAGCCTATGGCCCTGGATCACCGTCCTGAGGCAGCTGAAGAAAATGTCCAAGCCTAGTGTTGGGATGGCACCAGATGGGTGCATTTAGCTTGGCCCTAAAAGGGAGTACTATCTCCCCACACCTCCCCCTGCTGGGCAGCATGGGCACTGCATGCCACAGGCAGCTCGGCTTGGGCACTTGAGCACAGAGCCCACACTGGGTCCTCCACGTGACTCTTAATAAGTGATCCTTGAAGTGTTGAACAGGCAAGAAGAGAGAGAAGCCACAGGGCAGAGGAAAAACTAATAGGCGTGGATTTCCAGCCTAATTCTGGCTCAGTCACCCCTGGCTGCATGACCTTAGACATCTCTTGCCCTCCCCGTACAACAGTGACAGTAATCCACAGCTCTAAGGGTTAAATGACCTGCTGCAAGAGAGGGATTGCAGCACAGGGTGGCCATGCAGAGGGCTTAATTGGATGAAGTCGAAGAGGAGAGACCCCAGAGCTGACCTGATGCAAGGCTAGCCACGTGACTGTGTCCCTTACCTGACTGGCTGATGAAAAAGCAAACATCATCCCTGAACACAGGTGTGTTTCTGTCCAGAAAATCACTAGCAAGTTCAACCATCACAGGGAGCTCAGTCAGTTCCTCCAAAACTTGCCGCGTCTGAAGCCAACAAACATGGGGACTAAAGTCAGTCACAGGCACGACAGGGACATGGGGCAGCTAAGCTTCTAGGGACAGTTTGTGACTTGAAACCTCACTGTCCAGGTGGCGAGGGTTACCCACAGGCCACCTCGAATATAAAAGGGCTCCCTGTCATTTCTCACACTAGCTCATGAGAACGGGTACAATGGCTTAGCCAAATTCAGAAGGCCAAATGAGTGATATAATTGAAGCCCAGTGTCTGGCCCTAGACTGCTGTTGATTTCCCCGCGCATGTGTCACACTTACAGCCACCGCAGCATGGTAGCTGGTTCCACAGCCAATCACGATGAGCCGTCGGCATCGTCGGATCTCCTTCAAGTGGTCCTTCAAGCCACCTAGGAGCACTGCAGGGCACACGGCAGGGTGTTAACGCTAAGTCTACACAGTGACCACATTCCCTGGCACTAGGCATAGGCAGAAGCTCCCCACTGAATGTAGGAATTACCTGTGTTGGTCTCAAAATTCACCCGACCTCTCATAGTATTGAAAACGGATTCTGGCTGTTCGAAGATCTCCTTCTGCATAAATGCACTGAAGTTACCTGGTCCAATAAACATCTGGTCAGTTTTAATTTCATTATGTTTCCTGCTTTTCATTAGGAATAGTTCACTTCTTCTCCTTATGCAGTAGTGATAGCAACTCCTGTAAAGTTTACTGCAGATTCCCAAAGGCATCCCCAGGATCATCCTGCCTGACATGGACTTTCAGAGGGAAGCAGGTCAGAAACCATGACTATCATCTTCAATTTACATATTGGACCCTGCAGGCTGAGGAAGGGAGGGGTTTGCCAGAGGATGCAAGTAACAAATGGCTTAGCTGGTCCCTCTGGGCTGTGTTCCCCTTAGCAAGACCAAAAGAAAGTAAAGTGCTTTAGTCCCAAAAAGCCACCAAGTTAGGGAAATACAGCTAAGCAGGCCCAAAGAAATAAGCAATTTTCCTTTTAACAAATACCCTCCTAGCTTCTGTAATAAAAACCTTTCCAGCCGCACAGGCATTTCCAGTGCTCTGGTTTGAGTGGGGCTGCATGGTGCTGATGGGACAATGGGGCTGCAGGGTGTCTGAGATCCTGATGCAGCAGCTGCGCCTGACGCTCTGGAGGCGCCCACAGGCGGGGTACACAGTGTTCTCTAGGATACGCACGCTCATTATGCCAACATCGCCAGTGCTCCTGGCCTGCCACCCATGACCTGGCACTGGTGCAACAGGCAAATGAAGCAAGTGAGGGGAATAAGGGGTGGCCACCGTAGGGGGAGGGACCACGGCAGACACAGGAGCAGGGAAGGACTCTCTGAGGGTGTGACATTTCAGGGGAGCTGGAGATGATGAAAAGGAACCAGTCCTGTGAGAAGAACAGTGAACGCAAGGGCTGTGGCGGAACACAGTGGGACAGAGGGTTGAGTGTGGTGGGACCAGGCTTTGGCTCTGGTGGGGGTGTGAGGGTTTATGGGCTGCGGCAGGGAGTTTGGATTTTATTCCAAGAACAGTAGGAAGCCACTGGAGGGCCTTGAGCAGGGGGATGATCACAGGGGCTGATTCGTGTTCTTAAAAGTTTGCTCAGGCTGCACTGTGGGGCAGAGGTTGCAGGGAGATGGAGGTGGATGCAGACAGAGAGGCTCTCCTAGTAGGGAGAAAGTGTGCCCCCCACCCCCATTACTGCAGACCTCCCACCCAGAGGAGAAATGATGCCTGAGGGTGGGAGTGAGTCCCCCAGCGTTGGTGAAGGAAGGCAGCTGACACACTGGGCTGCGTTCTAGCAGGGAGGACCTGGCACCCGGCTGCAGACAGGAGTCCCCCTTGGAAGCACCAGGCCAGCCTCCCCACATCCCCTCAACTGTGCAAGCCATAGGACACCTGCAGCCCTGTCCTGGTGGCCACAGAGGGTGGGAGGGCTGTGGCCTCTACCAGGGCCAGGCAGAGAGTGTTAGGAGTGCTACCAGGAGGGTCAGCTCCCAAGGCTGCTGCACATGGACTCTCAAAGACACCTGCCTTTCATGATTTGCTGCAGTTCCATCTGCAAGGTCTGGATGGCTCGAGATGGGTCATCACTAGCTGAGCGCTTGACTCGGTGAATGGAGAGTTTCCCATCAGCCACTGCAGCGATGTCATCGTCCTCCAGGAAGATGACGCGGTTGGTGTGCTCTATGATAGCGCTGGGGCAAGGGACACACAGGCATCATCATCAGCACCCTGCCCTGAGCAGTTTCAAGGCAGCAGCCCCTTGCTGTTCCCCATGTGTGGGGGCACATCATTGGCATTTTAGGAGGGACAGAAACGACACACTAAAAACATTGATTTGCAAGTGAATCTTCCTCTTTTTCTCCACTCTTCCCTCCCCTCCCCAAGGAATTATTTTGAAGCCAGTCCCAGACATGATATCATTTCTTTTGTAAACACTTTAGCATATAGCTCTAAAACTATTTTAACCTATAATACCACAATCATATCTAAAATTAATAGTTGTTCCTTTATATCATCAAATATTCAGTATGTTCACATTTCTCCAATAATCTCATGGCTGTCTTTTTATAACTGGTTTCTTCAAATCAGGATCCAAACAATGTCATCTCTGGAGGATACTTGAGAACCAACACATTATTCTGAATCATGTAGGGAAAGAATCTAAACAATCTGTCTTTTGGAACAACCACATACTTTATGAAAGCAAGTTTCTCTAAGAAGTGATACAGCTAGTAACGAAGAAATAATAGAATTAGAATAATCAACTTATGAACTCCTAATTTTAATAGTGCTAATCAGGGGCCATCCATGGCTATCGAAACCAGGAGGTGAAAAGCTGACCGAAGCTTTATCATGGATGGATAAGGCTGGCAACACTCAAGCTCCTGCTGGCTCTTAGCACAAAAAGAGAGATGGTGAGACACTACCTGCCTCCTGATGGAAGGACACACCATCAACTATGTAGTCTTGCCAAAAGAGATCAAACCTAAATAAGATCGAGCTTTTAATACTTGTAACCTCTAGTGTACAGAAAACATAAGGGACAGAGGAACATTGTAAATGACACCAGGGGATGCACTCAGCAAAATCCAGACAATGGGAAACTCATCAGGACAAAAGACCTAGTTTCTTAAACACGTGCACATGTGCACACAAAGGGGCCCTAAAAGTAATCTATAAGCTATGTTTACCAAAGAAACACAGGGTCATTGTGTTTATTTTTATAACTTTCTCTGTATGGAAAGGAATAATGACTTTCTTCCCTTGAGATCATAAAACAAAGTGTTTTTAAAAATAATTTTAAGTTTGAAATGTTGCTAAATGAAAAAGAAAGGTGATTAATGGTACATAGTTGTGGTATAACCCATCAGGTTGGGCTTGAAGGACTCTTAGAGAAAATACTCTTGGCCAAGCATGGTGGCTCACGCCTGTAATCCTAGCACTTTGGGAGGCCAAGGTGGGCAGATCACCTGAGGTCAGGAGTTCGAGACCAGCCTGGCCAACGTGGTGAACCCTGTCTCTACTAAAAATACAAAAATTAGCTGGGTATGGTGGCAGGTGCCTGTAATCCCAGCTACTCGGGAGGCAGGAGAATCACTCGGCATAAGATCACACCACTGCACTCCAGCCTGGTGACAGAATGAGAGACCATTCAAAACAAACAAACAAAAAAAGAAAACATTCTCATTCTATCCAGAGCCACACCCACATGTGACTGCCAGAAAATGAACACTTGAACTCTTGGTGCAAAGGTAAGGAGAGAAACTATCAAGGTCTAAGGCTCTAAGAAAGGTGTATCTAGCCAGGTGTTAGGGAAGAAAGAGAAAGAAGGATCGCAAGCCACTGTACTGTAAAAAATATTTTAAACAAAACATACCCATTGTATAAAAAGTACAAATACGGAGTGACAAGAAGTAAAAATGGCCCTATCGTGTCTCCAACAGATCAACACTGCTTACATTGTAGCATTAACCAACCAACAATGTATGATAATGTGTGTTTATATTTATGCATGCATGTACATATGTTTGTTTAAATGTAATCATTTTATTTACAAAATGGGTAGTAACATAATCTGGTCATTAAGAACACTGGCCCAGGAGTTAGGCCTGAGGTAGACTCAGGGCCTCTGTCTCTTACCAGTCCTGTGCCCCTGGGCAATATAGATAACTCCCTGGAGTTCCTGTCTCAGGTTCCACCTCTGTAAACAGGAGAGAGCTGTGCCTTTCCTAGAGGTCTGTAGTGATTACTGGATGGGATCCTGGCGAGGCCCACATACCGTGCCCCGCACACGCTGGCCACCGTTGCCCAAAAGCTGCACAGTGTGCTCACGTCTGGGAGGGCCACCCACCATTCCTCTTTCTCAGCACGTTCTGGCTTTCTTGTGTCTCTACCACATGTGATAGAATCACTTCCCTAAGTTCCAAAGGCATAAGCAAAAGAATCTGGATGGTCCTAATTACAGCACGGAATTCACAGATTAATTTGGGGGAGAATCAATATTTTGAAAAAATAACTTGTAATCGTTAAATTAATTTTAAATGTTGAGTCCATTAATTTTTGAAAATAGCTACTCTGGAGGCTGAGGTAGGAGGATCCCTTGGGCCCAGGAGTTAGTTAAGTTAGCCTGGGCAATTTAACAAGACCCTGTCTCAGAAAAAAA